TTATTGAGCACTGGAATGAACCCATTATGGGCACGATCATACCGAATCCTCACAATGTTCTGGACGGTGGGTGCTAAATAAAGCTTAACCTGACAGATCAAAATTCGAGGCCTAAGAGTTAAGAGAGCCCTCCCTGGTGGCACAGCGGGTTAAAGCACAGCACTGAGAAGCTAAAGCCACTTCCGCATGAGTTCGATTCCCGCCTGCCCCGGAGGTGACCACATGGCGTAGCAGACCTCTCCTGACCCGCCCACTGCTCCCCTCAGCAGTGGACTTCATAGATCTGCCTGTTCTGCTTCCCACTCTGTCTCTGGTAAAGCCTCTCACCACCCCTGAGCCTTTGGCCTGTACCCCAGTTCTGTATGAATAAATAAATAAATCTTAAAAAAAAAAAAAAGTTAAGAGACCTGTCAAAAGACAGAGGTAGTTACAGGTGTAGCAGAAGATGATGTGGGAAGCTCTGTTTTTAAAGCCATTCTGTTAGTCGCATTTTCCTGTCCCTTCTTTGTTAAGGAAATCTTGGCTTTACTTTAGATATTAAGATGTGCTTAGAAAAATGCTGCCACATATACAGTGCACCGTAGGGATCACTGATACTTGATTTGCAAAGGTCGTCTTCAGCCAGTTCTTCAGCCAGTGGTTAATTCAGGAAGAGCAGTGAGACATGTGGAAATGTTTGTCAAGGGCTGATGAGCAACAGTTTGAAGCCCTTGAAGCAAAGGCATGCTTGCCTGTGTAGAAGGTCATCGTGAGGCCCGTGACGCAGCCTCATGACTAGGAGGGTCAGAGAGATCCCAGACTTCATGACTAGACGTCAGCAAGGCACTGATCAAGCCTGGCACCACCTACGCTGGGGATTCTTGATAAGTGAACAATAAACATTTTGATGATTCAAAGTCACTGTCACCAGCAGCCAAACACAATCTAGGCACGTACTCCCTCCTAAAAAACAAACCAGGCAGATAAAAAATCATCAATGGACTAAGACAGCCATCTCTTAGGAGCGAAAAGCCGTCGACTTGGGGTGGAGAAAGCAGCCCTGTGTCAGCCGTCAGGGGTCCAGTCCTGGTGTGAGAGCACGTGACCGCTACCCACTCGCCTACCCCTCAAGGCTCGGATCCTCAAGTTAGAAATGATTCTGGAAAGTCATAGTTAACGACTTTATGCCTCCCAGCAGTTTCCAGGTCTCCTTTCAAGGCTAAGAATTCCCTTGCTAGAACCCAAGGAGAAGCAAGACAGAGGCCAAGGAAGGAAACCAACCCTGGATGGTTTCCTGCACAGTGATGTATGCTCGAGTCGGCAAAATCTCCAGCAGTGCAGCAGAAACGCTCACCCGCACAGCTGAGCTGCCAGGTCAGGCGCCGTGGACAGTAGGCGGCCCGGGCTCCATCTGCTCAGAGCCCCATGGGGCCTGTCAGCCGCTGTCACATTCCCAGGATGCTCTCCGTGACGTCCCTGGCCTCCTCCCTGCCCTATTAATTCTGAGACTCTCAAGCTCCCTTCTCCGTACACTAAATCAATCCTTTGCAAAGTGAACGTCAGCAAGTGGGGGCTTGTGCCGACTTGTAAAGAAAGGAGGAGGCCACGCCACGGCCTTCCCAGGGCCGCATCACGCTGCAGTCGTGGGCTCTGCTCAGGCGTGTCTAGCTGGCGGGGGCCCTGGCACCTCTTCGTGCCTCTACTCTGCATCCTGTGATCTCGGCCTGGACTCAGGGACCGTGAACGAGGAGCCAAGTCTAGTGTCACCACTTTCACTTTCTTTTTAAAATAAAGAGGAGATCAGGGTGGTAAAACAGGGCACAGACTAGGAGCTGATCCTTGCAACAGACACACCGTTGGATTACTAAGTGTTATCGAAAATATACAAAGAACTCTTAAAACTCAACAATGAGAAAACAACCCGATTAAAAAGGCAAAGGCCTTAACACGCAGAAGATACACGCAGGCAAACGGGCACACGGAAAGATGCCCACGTCTCATGTCACCAGGAAGCCGCAAACTGACAGAGAGCCCCTGGGGTTGCCGGATTCTGGACCGCCGACGGTAACAAGTGCCGGTGCGGAGCGGAGCGCAGGGAACTCTCACTCACCACCCATGAGAAAACAGAAGGGAACAGTCACTTTGGTCAGTTTGGTGTTTCCTCATAAAACCAAACACACACTGAAGTGATCCAACACCACACGTCGCGGTATTTACCCACCAGAGTTGAAAACTATGTCCACACAACAACTGCACACAGATGATGACAGCAGTCACAGCTGCCCAAACCTGGCAGCAACCGAGATGACCATCAGCAGGCGAGTGGTGCGTGGTGCCACAGTCGGACACTGGAATACTATTCCTTAAAAAGAAATCATAAAATGAAACAGCTACCCAGCCTTGAAAAGACATGGAAGAAACTGAAACGTACATTCCTTACTCATTGGAAGAAGTGTAGGCTGAAGGGCCACACGGTGAACGACACCAGCAGAGGACATCTGGGAAAGACAACGGTATGGACACCACACATGACCTCTTGTCCAGGACACGCAGGGGAGACCGGCCACCTGCTGCTGCAGACTGAGGGCTGCCCGCTCCGAAGTCAGATATCGGGCTGAATCCCAGCACCAGGAGCGACTCCATGACCCTCCGCCCGGCCCCCCAAGCCTGTCTCCTGCTGTGCACAAATCGGGTAAACACTCTCCACCACTGCGGAGACTATGGAGGCGACACAAAGGGACACATTGGCCCCCAAACCCTCAAGCACCCACCTCCTCCTGTCCACGTAGACACGGATTCCCTTGACTGCAAAGGGGACCCCGCAAGTGCCCAACGGGCCTCCTCCACTCTGCCCCTCGTGAGCCGAGACATCGCATGGCCTTGGCAAAAGCGAAGCAAAACTACACTGACAGGAGCTCTCCGGACAGGAGCGCCCTCCCCGGGCTCCCAGCGTTCGAGTGCCCAGGAAGCTGGCAGGCGCGGCCACCATGCTGCAGCTGTGTCATTACGGCTGCTGGGCACCAGGGTCCAGAGAGACCCAAAGGACACACAGTCACCACTGACATTGCCGGTTTGAACTGACAGGGACCCGGGGTTCCCGCTGAAAACACAGCCAGACAAGTCAGTGTCGGGAAATGTTTCATTCAGCTGTGGGTGGTTTAGCTCAGTTGGGGGTTTGAGGGTTTTTTGGTTGGTTGTTGGTTTTTTGCCCTTATACAATCTATTTAAACTTAAAGATAGCCAGCAGATTTTTTTTTTTTTAGCAATTAAAAAACATGTTCTGGCCCTCCCTGGTGGCGCAGCGGGTTAAAGCGCTGCATTGAGAATCTAAAGCCGCTTCCGCATGAGTTCGATCCCCGCCTGCCCCGGAGGTGACCACATGGCTCCGAGACCTCTCCTGACCCGCCCGCTGCTCCCCTCAGCGGTGTACTTCGTTTATCTGCCTGTTCTGCTCCCCGCTCTGTCTCTGGTGAATCCTCTCACCCTCCACATCTCTGGCCTGTATCCCAGTTCTGTATGAATAAATAAATAAATCTTTAAAAAAAAACATGCTCTAAAATTCAATCTGTGTTTTAAAACTCTGGTGTTTGTCTTGCTCCTCAAGCCATTTCTGTCCTTCGGAGATGCTCGGTTTCTTCTGGCTCCTGCGTGTCACAAGTAGCACACTTGTCATCATCTTAAATGACGTTTTCATTAAGCAGAAATGAACAGCGGCTCATGGAGACAATTCTTTTTGCAGAGGCTAAATCCAGACCTCTGACTCTTGTAAATAAAGTTTTATTAGAAAACAGGCATGCATGTTTGTTTACACACTGTGGCCACTTTTGTGCTACAGGCAGAGTTGAATAGTAATGACAGGCTCTCTGTGTCTGCAAAGCCTAAAATAATTTACTCTCCGGGCCTTTCCAGACAATGCTTGCCCCTCCGGCTGACAGAAAGTATTAGTAGACATAATTGCACAAGGCTTTCATAGCACATAATCTCTGTAGTAGTGAAATAATTCTCTTTTGTTGAAGCCTGCTTGTCCAGCTGTATATGAGTTCTCTGAGAGGTAAGGACTGTGTTTTCCTGGATCAATATTTTCTCCTGGGGTGGAGCAGAGACTGGCACACCGTGTACAAGTCATAGAGAGCTGTTGAATGAATAAATAACCCAAGTAGCTGGGATACATGCTGGGTTACTGAGGGCCATTAATACGTCTTAATCTTGAATAAGAACCTGCTTCATAATAAGTTCTCTGCAAATATACTGACATTGTTTGCTAAATAATCAATTGACTAGATTATAAATTTAGTGATTGGATGTGTTTTGCTGACTGGCCCGACTGGATATGTTTTGTCTAGTGACCAAGATAAACCCTGTCCATATTATGATGACTCTTCTACACTACACCTTTCATACCCTTCCTTTCTCTGGCTTCACAGACTCTTCTCTGCCTTGTGCCCTGGTATGTGAGGGAAGTCAAACTTTCAAGAAGACTTGACTTTGATGGTGCTGTTCTACCAGTGACTTGCAAAGCTGGTACTCTGCTGAAGAATCCCCCTGTATGTTCAGAGGGTGGTCCCCAAATCTGAGGGTGTTCCCAACCCAGCATTCATCACTAATTAACACTTGGAAACAAGGAAAACCAGGAACACACAACATAGAATTCTGGAAGGCCACGAGAGCTGAGTGTTAGACACCTCTGGCCTGCTGCCTAATGAACATATTTGTTCTTGGATATGGAATCTGGCTTAATGGGAAGAGGAGATAAGCCAAATGTTCAAGAAGACAAAAAAAAAAAAATTGGAAAAAGGAGCAACTTGAGAGGCAGATCTGAGTAAGATCCATCCAACCTCCCAAACTTACTAGTTGAATAAACTTAAACCAATTAATTTACTCTTCTGAGACAAAAATACACTGACAGCAAAATGGGCATAAAGTGACAACTTTTATGAGTCCAACAGGGACTGGTGCTGTGTAAATGTCTCCACGCATCCCCTCACCCGCTGACACTGTGGTCTTCGGGATCTCCTACTTACCAAGCATTCCTTTCTTGGCGCTGGACAGACACATGTCTTTCTCAGCACTGGGCAAAGCAAAGCTCACTACGAACACCTCCACCCCATCAGCCATCAGGGCCAAACCCAAGACAAAGAAGAGGATCCACTGGAAGCGCCCGTGGCCACACTCCTCGATGATGGTCTCGTACTGGTGGGCCAGCTGCTCCTCGTCTTCCATCCTTTCCGCCATCATGTCTGCCTGGCCCCGAAAGCCATCGACCCTGGAGGCCGCCATCTTGGTCTGTTTAACTTTGATGTCGTCTGGGTGAGGGATGCCCTGGTACTCGCCCTCATAGATCTCATCCTCCTCATCATGACCTTCTGTGACATCACTCTGTGCATCCTCTTCTGGGTTGGAGTCACCGCCCCGGTAGTAGCCATCACTGGGGGTGTACCCTTCATAGCGGCCCTGGTAGTTGTAGTCATCCATGCCTCAGTCGTGGGGTGTCTGGCCGCCTCCCAAGCTATATCTCTTGCACTATAGTGGAGGTTTGGGCGGCTTCAATAACCATCAGCCATCACACGTGCAAAGGCTTACCCATAGGCGGTGCTCGTGAGATTTCCTGGGTATAGGTGACACCTGTATTCTCCCCCCTTGATCTCAAACAGTGCCGATTTCTACAAAGGTCCCCTTAGAATCTTTTTCAATTCAATGACTATTGGAAGGAAGTCCTGGCAAAGTTTCAAACTCTGGTCTGGTTTCCTTCACTGACCCAGAGATGTTGTTTTGGGAGAAGCTGATGAGAAATAGGTTCCGTTGTCTTCCTGGACCAGGAGCCTGCAGACTGGGAACAGATGTGTGGCTGGCCCGATTTTTTCTGCTACTGAAGGTTATGTCCTGGAATACAGACAAGGGGAAGAGAAGAGTGTTAATACATGCTGAAATTCTGAGGAAATAATCTCAGATTTAAACAGATATATCAGGCCCTCCCTAGTGGCACAGCAGGTGAAGCACAACACTAAGAAGCTAAAGCCACTTCAGCATGAGTACGATCCCTGCCCCGAAGGTGACCCACATGGCATGGCAGACCTGTCCTGATCTGCCTGCTACTCGCCTCAGCAGTGTACTTCATCTGCCTGCCTGTTCTGCTCCCCACTCTGTCTCTGGTGAAACCTCTCACCGCCCCTACACCTCTGGCCAGTACCCCAGTTTTGTATGCATAAATAAATAAATCTTTAAAAAAATAAATAAAATAGAATAAACAGATATATCTACTAATACCAATGTCTCATGTATAAAGTGGAGGAAATCTGGATGAGGTATTTGGATTCCTGTGAAATGAATGAGGCTTGAGTAAGAGAGACTGAAGACTAAGGGAGAAAGAGCCTTGACCACCCAGTCCCTCGGAAGGGTGAGTCACCATGAGTGGGCTCACACCGTGCACAAGAACAAGAGAGAAAGTGGTAAGGGGGTTTCCACATATGATGATCTTGTATTATGGGCTTTCTATTCGAACTTATCATGCTCTGGGAATAGCACAGGTTTGTTACAGCTCAACTCCTCTTATGAAAACACCAGCTTTTCTAATTTTGCAAGAAGTGGCTGTACAATTTGACATCTAGACTTATGTGTCAAAGAAATGTCCCAGACCATTATTCCCAAAGTCCAGTTGACACTCTCCATGGAGGTCTGAGCAGCCCACCACCCCATCCTGCCCTGAATATTAAGACCCAGAACCAGAGAGCTTGTTTCTGAAACTTGACTCAGTCATGCAATGGCTGACCACACGTGAATCTTTCTGAGACTCAATTTTCTCATCTGTAAATGGAAATAGCAACAGTAGTCACTTAAATCACAGGTTGTGTGGAAAGACCTAGTGTGCAAAGAGCTTAGCACCACACCTGACCTCCAGGCCAGCTACTTAGACCTTGATTCCTTGCTACTTTCTGTTCCCCGATTCCAATCCCAGAGGCTCGGACCCAATGCTGTCAGAGCCAAGAGCCGACCAGGTCCAGCCACCAGGTCCTCTGCTGACACCAATGGCCGACAGGCGCAGCCTGGCCATACAACTCCATTCTCAACAGCTAAGCCCAGGGCTTGGAGCCACGGTTGAATGAGGCCCACTGTGTGCCAGAAATTGTGCATCCCTAATTGTCACATCAAGAAAAAATAAGAAAGTCTTTGCACCTTTATCTAACAGATAAAGAAGCTGGGGCTCTTTAGAGCAAGCGTTAGAGCAAGTCACATAACTAGGACGCAGAGCAGAGCCCTCTGATCCCCTAAAGACTGTTTTGAGAAAGTCGTGTGAGATCACCAGAAGCTTTAAGAGGACAGATGACCACGCCAAAGGTCTGGCTCAAGCTCAGAAATGTGCGTTTTCACTCGGCTCCCTGCTGGTCCCGAGGCCTGACTTCCACCTCAGGGTGGAGGTCAGGCCCCTTCCCACACTCCCACTCTCCCCGGCTGCCAGGCCTTCACACTTGGATGCTCAGACCCCTCCGTCAGGGCTGCCAGGAGCCCACTCCCCAGCCCAGCCCGTCCGCAAATAGCGCCTGTGCAGCTCACCCACGGGACCCTGTCACAGCTGATATCACCTCGTCCTTTCACCAAGCTCCACAGATGCAGCCTCACAGTGGCCTGGGCCTGCTGCCTCATCATCTCAGCTGGACTCCTCCCCTGCCCACCGCCCACCCTGGCTTCCAGTCCATGCCTCTGGGCCCTCCTCACCCTCAGCCCTGGAGGACCAGTCTTGTGTGCTCATTTGACCCAAACACAGCCCATTTCCTTTGGGAGACACCCAAAGGCTTCTCAGAGTAGAGGTGCCCCCAAGCCACTCAGGGCAGGAGGGGCTGGTTTGAAATGCAAATACCAGGATGCTCCCCCACCCCCATGCTCTGAACCTGCCTTGGCATGGGGCCTGGGAACATGCACTTTCTACAAACATCAGACAGAATCCTGTAGACTCTGCTTTGAGTCAGCAAGAAATATTCACCAGAGACGATTCTCATTTTGATGTGTTCCGATTTCTCACCATCCTCAGTAAATAAATTTGTATCAGACCATACTGGTCTGAACCATGTCAGATTAATACTCTAAATCTGTTTTATTATATCCACTTAGGGAGCACAAAAGGAATATAAATCCCATGTAAACAGCACGCGGCTTCTGCACACTGCTATAAAAACAGAGGAAGAACGCCAACTGCCTCAGCGCTGGTGTGTTATCTCCATCCTGGGGGCTCTCCAAACATGACAGGAAGCGGGAATGAGAGATCTGCAAATCTGAAGTGCATGCAGAACACTGGCTTGGAGCAAAGGCCCTGGGAACTGCCTACAAGGACAGGCCCCTTGACCCTGAGATGAGCTCGATTCTCCTGATCTCTGGGAGAAATTCAGCAGGGCGGAGGCTTCAGGGCAAAGCCTGAGAGAGGCTACTTGAGAATCTGCTCGTAGCTCTAGTTCATGTGAGCAGGAGACAGCAGGGTCAGGGAGCCCAGATGTATACTGGTGACAAATGCCATCACACACGCCTCTTACATCCATCCCTCAGGACAGCACAGGCCACGCCAGTAATAAGCGAGGGGAGGAGCTTACTACGCAAGAGAAAGAGATGGCCGGACTCCTGGACAGGAGACCTGGGTCACGCCCCATCCCTGCCGACCAGCCTCTGGGAGACCCCGTGAGCCATTTCCTTTGGAGACCCCAGTATCTGTCTCTAAAATGAGGGGCAGAATAGGATGACTTTTAAGGTCCTTTCCAGCTCTCTGACTTAGTATTTCTTTGTCTATCTGTGACACTGTTTTGAATCAGCAAAATCATAATAATATTATGTTAATATTATAGCACAGTATCTATTTCAAGCTCTTTCAACATTTAAACACCCATCAATCATTTTTTGGCTTTTTCTCCTTAAATATTTAGAATTCCTCCCTGAGGCATTGTGACATTAAGCATCCCTCTCCAGTGTGACACTATGTGGCACGTGTTCTTGTGTCTCTGCTGGGAGATGGTGAGCAATCCCAGGGTACATAAAGCCCTGCTTGTCACTTATTGCTGAAATCCCCGGCACTAAAAAGTCTTTAAACACAGAAGGTCCTTGAAAATGTTTGTTCTATAAAGGAGGTTAACAGTTATTCTTGTCTGTTTGAAAGAAAGTCAAAGACAGCCCGTGGACCAGAGTGCCAGGCTTTCACTACAAATAGACCACCTGGTTTACCTTTTTTTAAAAAACTATATTGGATCAGCTGACATGCTAAGATACCACCTTTCATAAGGGGCCATTTCCTCTCTTGCTTCCCCGCCGAGATGGCTGGGGGTGTGGGATTCTAAGGACAGCTTGGCTGCTTTGTTATCAGCTTCCAGACTGGAGAATGTGCCTCAACCACCCACGAAGCTGCCTGAAATACACTGCTTGCAGTCCCTAGGTAGGTTACATCAGCTATTGAGATGAAAATACCAGGACTTATCTGGCTGGTACTGGAAGATACCAGCCTCTGAGGGCCTGCAGTAATCCCCTGGTCCACTTAGAGCAGCATTTTCCCAAGAGTATAACATCAGAAGTCCTTCTTTCTTCTTCACTAAATCACCCAATTCTATTGGGGTAAAAGTGAAAGCTAGTATCTGAAGTGTGAAAAAACAGCTGATTCTTAAACAAAAACCAACCTACATGTTTCTTTTTTTTTTTTCAACTCTGTTCATCAGAAGAATTTTTTAAATAAATATATGTATTTTTTACATAATTCATATCTGGTGCCTTTTCCCATCTCAGTTGTAATCCCCATTTCCCACCAATCCACCCATGGGCCGTCACCACAGTCCCGTGCACCGGACCCCACATTTCCCTGAAATATTTTTCGAATTCATCTCCGTGCCTCCCAGTGTCCGTCTCCTAATTTCCCTGGAATTAGTCAGCCTCTGGCACAGTCGCCCCACCCCAGAGTAGTGCTTCTCCGTAATGAGTCCCCTCCTCTTCATCCTTGCCCCTAATTCAGCTTTGGCCAAGTATGAACTTGTCATTAGACAGGGCGAAGACGTTGCCAGGAATGTGAGCACACTTAGCGCAGGAGCCTCGCATTCTGTCCAGCTGCGGGCCCCACTCCAAGCCCAAGAGCAACAGCAGGGAGGAAGGAAGGAACCTGTAACGAGCCTGCACCTTCGCACGCAAAGCTCATGTGACGCTCACCCAGACCTGAGGGGCCTGGGTGCCAGAGAGGCCGAGGAGCCATCCCCGGTCACCAAGCAGCGAGAGGCGGGTCCCCCCACCCCCCGCACAGCAGGTCTGAGCCCCCCTTGTCACAGAAGACGCATCCCCCCAGCCTGGCTGCTCAGCTAAGTGACTGCTGGGCTTCCCCGGCATGCCTCTCTGCTGTTTGCTTTCCTGGTGAACTCCTCCTCCATATCTGACAAGATGTTTCTATGGTGTCAACACTTGAAACAGCTCTGCTGACGCCACCTGCAGCTGGCAGCTGCAGCCACCCACCTCGCCGCCGG